ATTTTTTTAAAAAATAAACCCTCCTCCTTTATCCGGGCTTGGGACCGGCTACTTCAATTTCGAGTAGGCGGAGTTAAAAATTGTACACGAACAACTTGTTACGTGTACAATTTTTTTTAAAAAAATTATAAAGGTATGAAAATAAAATTTTGTGATGAATGTAGTGAAATTAAATATCACTTACTTGATTACATGCAATTTCGGTATATTTATGTTGAATTCGATAATTAGCGTCTTCCCAATCATTCACGCACATTAACGCCTCCAAAATATCTTCTTTTAGTTGACCTCGGATCTCAGAGAGAACCCTATTTCCTGCACTAAAAGTAGACTCCGAAACTACAGTACTAACCAAAAGTGTTAATAGATCTTTTGCAATTGCGAAAATTATTGGCCATCGACGTTCGTTATTTCGCCAGAATTCAATGACATCTTCTAAACTTTTCTTAACTGATTTCTTACTAGACAAAGTATAACTAAAGTAATCAATTAATTCAGATGGCAACGAACTTCACCATTCTCGTTCGAGCTTCCTCTTCCGAATACATCCACGTAGAAAGGGGCATAGTAGTAACACCGGCGCTACTAGTACCAAACTGTAGTTGCGTTTGACCAGCGGGAAGAAGCCCATGTTTGGCCGCACATATTTTGTAGTGAAAGTTGAGGTGGGTAGTTTCAATGCCTTTTTGCCATACCAATCGTTATTGGCAGTATTTACATCTGAAATGGTCCCAACATTTTATCTGTTTCTTCTACTTTCTCTTCCTTCTTGCATTGGGAATATTTAATGTATGTTCTTGATCTTGTTCCAAATCAATTGGAACACTAAGATCAATATCAACGTCATCCAAATCAATTGGATTATGATGACTACCTTCACGAACGTCGAAATCTTCAATGTTTTCTGGAATTGGTAATTCATTGAGACAGGTAAATTCATTCCCAAATTGATTTTGAGCAGGTGTTTCGTCTTCCACACCGAACAAGTTTTCAACAAATGCTCGTTGATCCATTTGTGAATAGTAAAAATTGAATGTTGAAGTGTTGAAATAGAATCTAGAAATGTAGAATTGAGAAGTGAATGAAGCTTATATAGTAGTGTATAAAATGAATTGTAAAATTAAGATAA